GCATGGTCGTCGTTCATTGAGACCAACTCTTATCCCTTTTGATTTGCATCTCGAATCCATCGTTAGAAATCTTAGGGGAAGGGGAAGTTCAAATAGAACCCGCCTATCAATGGATGACCATAATGATGATCATGTTGAGGACCTTGGTCACATAGACCAACAAGGCATCCTTCATCCAAATGTACACAATGAGAACATTCAAGTACCATTAGGCATGCTTAGGCCATACATTCACCCACCACCACAACAACAAGGCTAAGTTCCATTCGGAATACCAAGGCCAATGTATGCTCCACAACCTCCTATGGTCAATCGTGGAATTCAAAATCAAGGTGTTCATGTTGTACCTCAAGTTGCTAACCCACCACTTGCTTTGAGAGACCATTATGTGCCAAATGAATATAATGCACCCACATGCATTCAATTACCACCATTTCGAGCACACCATTCTGAAATGAAAGCACAAACCATTCAAATGCTTCCTAACTTTCATGGACTTCCAAGTGAAGAACACTATAAGCATTTGGATGAGTTTCTTGAAGTTTGTTCTACCGTGAAATACACGGACATGCCGGAAGAAGTCTTAAGGCTTAAACTTTTTCCATTCACCCTTAAAGACAAGGCAAAATATTGGTTTAACAATCTTAGGCCTTTTTCAATCACTTCTTGGGCAGAAATGCAACAAGAGTTTTTGAAGAAGTACTATCCGGTTTCTAAGACCAATGCCATGAGAACTTCAATTAGAGAATTTACACATGGGGATGGGGAGACATTCCATGAGGCATTGGAACGCTTCAATGAATTGCTAAGGAAGTGTCCACATCATGACATGCCTAAATGGTAATTAGTTTAATATTTTTTTGAGAGCTTATCGGGTAATTATAAGGGTATGGTTGATGCGTCCATGGGTGGCTCTTACATTGATAGGTATGAGGATGACATATGGCATCTCTATGAAAGCATGAGTGAGAATTCATTGCATAGAACATTGTCATCAAAGAATGGTAGAAATATACAAGGTAGGAAGAGTGTTAGCTTACTTTAAGTCGATAATTCTAATGAGATAGCCGCCGAAATGAAGTCTTTGTCTTAAAGGTTTGATCAATTTTTGATTAACCAAAACTCGGTAAACCAAGTAACTTCCTTCCCTAACCATTCTCATCGTGCATCAAATGAATCATGTATGACTTGTGCTAGTGTTCTTCATTTTACTTCTCATTGTCCTCATGGACAAGTGCAAAGTAAACCTAATGAATAAGTCAATGCGGCTTTTGTGAACCAAGGGAACAATCCTTATGGTACTCATTACAATCCAAGTTGGAGAAATCATCCGAACTTCTCATGGAAAATCCAAGGGGAAGGCTCAAACCCTCCCTAGGGCGGTTTTCAAGGGAAGTATATTCCACCTCCAATTCAAAACCAAGGATCCCAAGGTTATAGGCCATACCAATCACAAGGGAATCAATTATCTAATTCTCATTTTCCCAACCAATCATATTCCTAAGGTAATTCTAGAAGTCCCGCTTTTGAAGAGAAAGTTTTAAATGCTTTAGGCACTTTAGAAGCTAATAAACAATTGCTTCATCCTCACTCTTAATCTATTGCAAAGCTAGAAACCCAAGTAGGGCAAATAGCTAGCACTCTTAATGCTAGAGAGAAGGGAAAGATGCCTATTAATGCCCCGTCTAAGCAACAATGTGTTGTGGAAATCCAATCCTTATCGGAGGGGTGTACCATAGAACATGTTAATGCGGTGACTACCTTGCGGAGTGGTAGAGTTGTAGATAATCAAGTAGAAATGACCAATGAAGAGAGTGAACCGGTGCAACTACAATATGTCACCCGTCCCGTTTCATATCCTATTCCTCCTTCATTGCATACACATGACCTTGTAGATGAGAAAGTCTTAAAAAATGTGTTTGAAAAAGAAGTTTTGAAAAATGATGTTGAAAAAGTTTTATTAAAAAATGATTTGAAAACTTCTTGTGTTGAACAGAGTTCAAAAAAAAATCTTGAAAAAGGGTTTGAACCAAAGGTTCCATTTCCGGATGCCTTAAAAGGATCCATTTCAAAAGACAAGCAAAAAGTCAAGACCAATGAGATTTTGGAAATGTTTAGGCAAGTAAAAGTTAACCTTCCACTTTTGGATGCAATCAAGCAAATACCGGCTTATGCTAAGTTTTTAAAAGATCTTTGCACCCAAAAGCGGAAGAACAAAAGCCAAGCACCAAAAAAAGTGGTTTTGACCAATCAAGTAAGCTCCATTTTGCAACATAATACTCTTCCAAAGTTTAAGGACCCCGGTTCACCCACTACATTATGCATCATTGGTGAACATATCATTAATCGGGCACTTCTTGACTTAGGAGCAAGTGTTAACCTTCTTCCTTACTCGGTTTATGTCAAACTAGGCTTAGGTGAATTGAAACCGACGTCGGTAGTTTTGCAACTTGCCAACCGATCCATTAAAAAGCCTAGAGGTGTCATTGAAGATGTTTTGATTAAGATTGATAAATTCTTCTTTCCCGTTGATTTCGTTGTCATAGACACGGAACCGGTTCCCAATCCTAAGAGCCAAATTCTCGTTATCCTTGGCCGTCCTTTCTTGGCAACCGTTAATGCCAACATCAATTGTAGAACGGGGGTAATGAAGATCTTTTTTGGCCACATGAAGGTGAAATTGAACATATTCAATCCAACACCCAATTCATTTGACAAGTATGAAGGAGAGGTCAATGTTGTGGAAAAATGTCATGAATTCAGTAGTGAAGGAAATGAGTTTTTATGTGACTCAATGGTTTCTAAAGCTTCATCTTCAACCTTGCATTCTAAAAGTCTTGTTTCAAACTCTTGTTTTGAAAGGGCGTGGAAGCCCAAAGGTTGTAATTGCATAGGCAAAGGATCAAAAACTTCTTTTGAGTTTGATCCAACAAGTTCTTCCAAGAACAATTTGTTGGGTGGGGCTCAAGATATTTATCACCCCAACAAGGAGGGGATGCATTATAAGATCTTCGATCCGGGCTAAAAGAACCCAATGTCTTGCTAGAGACGTTAAAGACTAGCAAAAGCATTCGTAGGGTGTCAAAACCCTATTCCTCCCCCATTTCTATCTTACATTTCATTTCTTGCGAAGTCTAGATACTTGTTTTTGGTTTATATGCATTTCAAGGAACTTTGGTGAGGATTGCATAAGCTTGCATGTCAATTTTGAGCATTCTGCATAAGTTCGATCGATCTCATACCTGAGTTCGATCGATTGAACTTCCATCTGAATCCAATACTTAGAAAATTTTCAAGCCTACATCCAAATAGGCTCTCTGTCCTATCGATCCAAGAAAAATCTGCGATCTTAGTTCTCAGTTGGATCGATCATAGGAACTTCGATCGATCCAACTATCCTGTTTAATCGATCTTGAGTGTTGACACTTAGAATATTTTTGAGCCTGCAGAACCTGCATCCAAATCACCTCTCTGTCCCATCGTTCGAACTAATTCTTAGATTGATCAAGAGACATTTGATCGATCCAACTTCCAAGTTTGATCGATCTCATGATTCAACACTTAGAAAAATTTTCAGCCTGCATCCACTTGCATATTTTCAGCTCTCTATCTGATCGTTCGAAACATTCCAAGATCAATCTGAAAGTTCTTCAATCGATCCAACTTTCCAGTTCGATCGATCTCATGTTCCAACACTTAGCCAAATTTTTGAACCAAAAACCTGCATATTTCAGCTCTCTATCTGATCGATCGAACTCTTGTTTTGATCGATAACAAATCTTCATTTCATTGTTTTAACTTTAGTTTGACTTTTTAACTTTTGAAAAATCCAAAAATATTTTCAGTTTATTCTATTTTCTCTCTCATTTTATTTTGTTTTAATTTTCATCAAGTTTTCAAAAATTCAAAAATATTTTAATTTATTTAGTTTTTAATTAATTAAATGTTTATTCAAAAAAAAAAAAAAAACTTTGAGAGAGAAAGTTCGATCGATCTCAGCTGAGTTCGATTGATCGAACTAATCGGGGAATGTTTTTTTTTTTTAAAATCAAGGGTTCTCATGATCGATCATTTAGATCAATCTAACTTACCCTCAACTTCAAAACCCGCCCCCCCTTTTTTTTTCTCTCTCGTCGCCGCCGCTACACCTATTCATATCTTCCATCTCCGGCGAGAACCAAGCTTCTCTCTCTCTTTCTCATCTCGGTTTCATCCCTCCCTCTTTGCATCCACATCTCCCTTCGATTTGGGTAAGATCCGAGACCTCACTAGTCGATTTCAAGCTTCAATCTCATGCATGCATGGTGGATATGTTTGATTCATGCTTTATATATGATTGAACCTCCATTGTTGATGCTTGAAATATGTATATCGTTGTATATATTTTTGATATTTTTGTTTGATTTTGGAGTATGGGCCATGTTTGGGTGATGGGAGTTGTTGATTTGATGTGTTGTAGGGCCCACAAACACGTTCGTGTGGGCCCCGTTCTTCAAAAGTCACAGATCTGTGGCCTTTCAGTTTTCATCGTCGCACAGTTCGATCGATCAAACTTGTATCTCAGATCGATCTTGAGAGATCGATCGAACTCTTGTCTCAGATCGATCGAAGTTGTGAGATCTATCTCACTCACTTTCGATCGATCTAACTTTTGTGTTCGATCTCACTTTTTTTCATGATCGATCGAACTTCACAGATCTCACACACACACTTCATTCATCATATCTCATTTTCATGCTATCTTATTTATGCCCAATGCCTATGATATTCCACATTGGATGCATGTCATACTTATATTGCGTAACATGATTAATATCCAGTCACCTGCATAGATTCATGTCATATCTATTTTGTCTATCTTATTCGACATGCATGATTCTATATTATGTTTAACAATTCTTTATTCTGGCACTAACTTCCATTGCAAGTTTTTCTTTGCAGATCATGGTTAAGCGCAAGACTGTTGCCAATAGGTAACACAAGCCACAGAGACCTCATAGACAGCAGAGGCATGTTAGGCCTAGGACAGAGGAGCCAGCCGAGCCCTCTCATACTCAGGAGACAGTACAGCCTACACCACCTCAGTCACCTGCTCCTGAGGCTGAGGATGATCATATCCCATCTCCTTCCCAGGCTCATCCTGCTTTTACACCTTCACCATCTCCACCACATGCTAGCGCTGAGCGTACACCAGTACCACCTCCATCACGCCAGCCAGCTCACCAGGCGCGTGATAGGCCCACACCTCGATATGAGAGTATGCCAGTCAACCATGAGTCTGTCTTTGACACAGATTTCTTCTCCCGATCGGTGCTGACCTGATCAGCTTACCGTGATATTATTCAGAGGGGCCTGACCGCTATTCTTGCCCCTGTCACAAAGCCGGTCTACCCGCGGCTAGTACGGTTGTTTTACCAGAACCTCCGACCATTCCCGCGTACCACAGCCTAGCTAGTCACTTCTGTAGATGGCCATATGATCACCATCACTGTGGACACACTTTCCAGATCATGCTACTGCCCACACCGCTGTCTTCCAGAGCTTCAGGAGACCTATCCGAGGCTACACAGGCCTTCTTATGCCACCATGGCAGTTTACTTGACAGGTCACCATGCTGCTGGCGAGACTTTCGCCACCCACACATATCTTCCAAACGACCTTTGGTTCATCGATTTCGTGCTTTTCCGGAACATATACATGGCCGGACACAAGATCCAGAGGAGGAGCGATTATTTAACAGCCCTCTATGCCTTTTACACCAGGCATTGGGTGTCCATTCCCGCGCTCATCTGGAGCGTGACGAGAAAAAACTCAATTTTTCCAACCTTATCAAATATGGTATCTCAAGCTCACAGCACAAGATGAGTACCAGCATAATCCATTGTTAAACGCGGAAGAAATTGCTAACAGCATTATTCCGTACCACTTCGAAATTCACAGTTTCTTACATCTACAAGATACTGCTCGCCGACTTCTAGATGGAACTTATCACAATCAAGATCCAGTGTTATATTATTGTGATGGATGACGACTCTTTGTTACAACACTCAATTGCTATTATGATGACAACAATGGAGAACATCACATCCAGACTTCTAAAGCATTTTTAAAAGAAATCGTTAGCATGACAACGCTGGATATCCCCTCTCGGGTCAAAGATGGAGCCGAAAGACTCAATCTCGAATGGGATATTGCTGATGCACAATCACCAGCCAGCACTCCTCCACTTGATGAATATGAACTCCATAACATCATCAACGCTATGGAATGATGAACCGACACTCTTTTCCACTCGACTGTAATCTATCCAGCACACGACAAGAAGAGTTGTCCTGTCTACTTTTTCCAAAAGCAAAAGTAACCGAAAGCTGCCGATAATATATTCATCAACAGTGAAAGTTACCGACATTTTCTTTTTCAAACAGTAAAAGAAAGGATTCGTTCTTATCCTCTCAAGAACTGTTTACCTTTTGTAAGCTTATTTAAACCGCTTCTTCACAATGGATTCGGCATTATGCTTTAGTATCAGTCCTATCTATCTTTGTTATTTCTGTAAATCTTTCAGTTCCGTTTTGTGTTTCTATTTCCGCATTGTACTGTAACCGGTATCAGAGCCATACCGCGAATCTGGACCACTATTGTAAGTTTTATTACGTTTTAAGTTTTCAGTATCTACTTTGTGTCTTATTACTGTTATAAATCTCATATGTTTGATTACTGTTTCAAGCGCATATTATCCTGTACTTGCTTATTTGTTTGTACGACTTTGTTTAAGCTTATCACAAGACTCTTTGGTTTTAGGCACCATAACAGAAATCAAAAGGTCTTTAGAACCAATAACTGTTTGTATGGCACAACCTAGCTCTATAAACTGCATCCGTAATATTACCGGTCAAGATCCCAATGGCTATCGTCATATTTCTCATTTTCTACATACGGAACCCCTTACATTTAATCAAATCGGCGCAGGATTAAACTTCCTTATCGATATGGTTACTGATTGGAAAATCGATTTCCAACATAATCTAGAGGCTACCAATACCCATATGGATTCCTCTTTTGAAGATGTCCAACAAGGAATGATCTCCTTGAATGACAAACTTGAAACTCTTACCCAGATTTTCACTCTTTCTAATCCTCAAGACACATCCGTCCTTCAGGAACAGATTCATCAGATGACTATAGATCTAGCCAAGCTCAAAAAAGCTAAAATGTCAGACCTATATCCACCTGAACCAGATCCACCCGATCTTTCCAAACAGGAACCTCTCAAAGCTCTCCCAACGGAAAAATCACTTTTCGAAGAAAGTCAACAACCTCTTCGTTATAAGGTAAAACCTCTTTTCTACGGTCATGAAGAAATAAAAGTGTTTTCTGAAACAAACACTTTATATCGTCGTGATGACTATGACAACATCATAGATCAACTCAATTGTTTACAAGCACTATATGTAAACCCACAGCTTACTTTTGTTAAAAGCACACATATCATCAATCGCATAAGACAGATCTCTTTACAAAATGAAGATCTTCTTACTCACTTTGGTTATTCACCAATAGAAAGCGACAGTAATTCTGACGACTTGAAAGAAGACATAGATGACGAACAGATATATGTCTTTTCTAATGCTTCTGATTCCTCTTCTTCAGACTCTGAATCTGTCGATGAAACCATCGAAGCAGATCCTCTGCCAACCCCAAGATCTAAATCCCAAAAATCTTTCTCCAAGAACGTCAATCCGACACTGTTCTTGATGAAACCTTTTATGGAGATTTTCCTACTGAAGACCTTTTCCCAGCAGAAGAAGTTCCTTCATCCAGCCAACCAGCTGACGCCGATAAAGGAGAAAAAGGAGAACCCAAAAAGTCCTCTGTTTATACTTCCTCATATAAATATGATTTTTCTACAGTCCCTACCTGGACCAGAAAAGATGATCTTAATAAGTTTCCCACTTCACAACATGGAACTTATCTTGATCTTTCAAATGTCCCCTATAAAGATCATTTGAAAACCATTGATGAATGGGTACAGTCTTTGGCCATTCTCGTTAACAATTATAAAGGAACTTGGTAACGCGATCGTTTCCTTGACTACATCTCAGCAACCCTATAAGGTGATGCTCTTGATTGGCTTCGACAATGGGATCAAACTACTCAAGGCCAACGACAGAAAGACGAACTCTTAAACAACTTCGATAAGATCGATGGCGTCCTAAGAGGATTCGTTAAAATTCTCAAAGAAGAATTAGTCGGCCACACAGGAAAACAACTCCTAACCGACGATGCAACTTGCGCTCTTTTAAAAATTGAATTATGCGATATTTGCAGCTTTCCAGCCTACGTCAAAATTTTTACTAAATATTTTCATAGACTCCCACCAAATGCTATTGAACATTGGTTACCCTAATTTTTCCATAAACTTCCAAATCCTTGGGATGAACTTGCAGCAAAAGGTTATCTTGATTTTCTCGTTTGAATTCAGAAACCAGATAACATTGGTTTTCGTACCAATTTTGTCTATCGTGTCATTAACGAAAAATGTCTTGAGACTAAAGCTAAAAAGCAAGTCAAGAACCAAATCAGCAATACTGCTGAAGGCCAACGCTGTTGTGACAAGATTCTACAAGAAACTTGGAAGATTGGATGTGCACCTTATAAAGCTGCTACCCGTCCTCAACAATCCCTGAAAAGAAAAAAATTTCGCTGGAAAAAATGGCAACTTGGCAAGCGTCCAATTCGCGCCTCAAAGAAGTATGTTACACTAGCTACTTCTGCTCCCTCCAAACCCAAGAAAGGGAAAAAGAAAAAAGGTACCAAAAAGACCTCCAAAGCTTCTAAATCTTTGGAAATAAAAAAAGATTGTAAATGTTATATTTGCAATGAGTCTGGTCATTTTGCAACCAATTGCCCGCAAAAAGGCAAGAGTGTATCCAAAATGATTAAGCATTTGCAGACAGATAATCTCTGTGTTGTTTATGGTCACGAAATTTCTGACCTTAATGACATTTTGTACGAACTTTCTAGTGACTACTCCAGTTCTTCTCACAGTACATCCACCAGTGATACTGAAAGCGATATTACAGATATCGATACTATCTGTATGATGAATCTTACTCCTTCAAAACCTGATAAAAATACTAATATTAAACTTAGTGACATCATTGGTGAAGAAGTGCAGTTCACAAACGAACAGCTTATTCAGTTTGATAAACTTCAACGAATTAAAAAAGAAGAAGTTTACAAAACTTCTCGATTTGCTATCTTTTCCAAACGAATTTTAGAACAATTCAGCGGAAACACTACCATCGACTACACTTCTAATGGTCGTTGTGGTTTCAACATCCTTAGCAAGGAGAAAATCGAGCGCTGGAAAGAACAAAAACCTCGGCTTATGGAAACGGTTATCCATGACAATAGCAATGACGGGTTGATCTGTACCTCGTCGAAAGAGAGATTTATAGAAAACTGTTTGGGCTTCTATAAGTGTGTCATAAGCTTTGAAGCAAGATCCATTAAAGGAACGGACCTGTTTGTGACAGTCATTCCAATCTGCATAAATGCCGAGATGGTGACCAACAAAAACCACGAACCATTTGTTTGGCTGTGATGGAGTTGGTTTGTTTGTTGCCTTTTTAGCAACAGTGATCCAACCATCTTTATCTTTTGGTGGATTGTTGTGTTCATCCATCTGTAGGCATGGAGAGAGAAATATCAGGGTTAGATACTTCTGTTGGTCTGCTTAAGAAATCTGCAAGAAAATTGTTAGTTCCTTTGATATGTTCAATAGCAAAAGAATATTGAGCAATAACATTATACCATTTTAAACGACGTCCATCTAAACAATTCTTTTTGTTTATAAGGAAGTCTTTTACTGCTTAATTATCAGTGCGAATGATAAAATCTGCTGGGGCTAAATAAATGTGAAATCGTTTTATTGCTAATTTAATAGCCAGAAGTTCTTTTTCATAGATAATATAATTCTGTTCATTGGGTTTGAATTTCCCAGAATTATATCCACAAATTAATTCTTCTTGTTGAAGCTTCTTTGTAATAGGAGCTTTACGAGCTCGGATCATGGGAATGGAAGGGGTATCATCCTTCCATTTTTCTTTAGGAATGGCTTTTAACACACATCCCCATCAGAGATCTGAGGCATCGGTTTCAAGAATGAGTTTATCTCCATTTTGAGGAAAATAAACTTCAGGAATATGGACTAAATTTGCTTTGATTTGTTGGATAATGATGGTGTCACTATCAGTCTAGTCAAAAGCTGTATTTTTCTGTAGCTTCTTTATTAAAGGAAGTTTTTTTTTGTGACAAAC